CCAGTAGCAAGGTCATCACGGTGGACGCAGGAACTTGACCACTACCATAGATTTCACAATTGATCCTTGAACCTCCCCATTTTGACTGCTAGCTCGTGTGTTTTTTTCCCCGTAATGGATTCCCCATGAAAATTCACCTGTGAAGCGAAGCACGTTCCACATTCTGATCTCTCACGTTAACCGGTTGGGTTCTGTTGTTTCCGGTTTTCTCTTCTCATTTTTTCCCTAGGGCAGGAATGTGAGATCGTACAGCTATTATATTTTCCATATTATTCCATACCTCTATCTATACTTATTAAGAATCATATATATTCTATCAGGGACTTTTAGCGGAATCGGTTTTAACCATAAATTTCGACAGTGTGGAATCGTGAAGCAATAAAAAAAATTTAATTAGAAAAAACCGAAGATATTACTAATATTATATTAAAACTTAAGGATAAATGTAGGAGCATCAAATTTTGGAAAAAGTATTTAACTTTTTTTATTAATACCTCCTGTTGCGATTTTTACAAAACCTTGGCTAATCTTCGCGTATACACCTGATGCTCGCGACTACGACCAACAATGGAAATAAATTTTTGGCCATGTCTTGTGTAGAAAAGTCTAAACTTGGTGTGTACAATATTTCTTACCCCATCTATATGAAAACAAACCTACTATCCAACCATAAATCAGTCAATTACAGATTCCGATTAGTCGCGCTTTGAGACATGAAAAACACACAAGTAAAGCTAAATTTGACGTCAATCGGAAATGTTAGAATAGAAATACCTAGAAACGTCTTTGTTCCCCTCCCACCCCACCCCGCTACAGTGTTCCTATGATGTTTTACTCTATCTGATAAAAGTTAATAGTTCCAAACACCAGCCAACATGAAGCAACTATTGCTATTGATATGTCTGAATAACTACTCTAACTCTGAAGTCAGATAAAGTTAAATAAATCATTTATTTTAAAAAAAAAAAAAACTATAATATGAATATAAACACATGTTCATATGTAGCAATTCAACTACAAGCTTATGGTGTCCATTAAACGGACAACCAAACAAACCTGTGGACTAGTAGTTCAAAGCCACGCCAATTTAATTAACTAAAGGCTCATAACACGTCGTAACAAATTCGTATAACACGGGTAACAATAGTTATCGCTCACCAATCAGATATGCAGCGATCACGCAAGATGAATAATTACAACGAGGGAATACTGCAGCCTCAAGCGGGGCCAGAAACAATTTGTTTACACCATCCCTAGTTTAAACTATCGAAGTGATTTTCAATTCTGGTGAGGACAACCAGGCGCATATTAGTTTACATAATCTATAACTTTTACATATATTTGAAGATAATTTTGTTCTCTTTATGTATTCATTTTCTTTCTTCAATAAGTTTCTTTTTCATTTTATAAGTTTTTGTATTTAATTAAAGATTTCTGTTATTCTAAAAAACTAAATGCATTTAGAATGCATAGAAAAATGTGCTAACTTAATTTCTTCAGTAATATGAACACTTAGAATCAATATGAAATTATATATGGCAAGGGCCGGTTATAGAGTCAGTGTAGCAGAATTTTTAAAATTTAGTGACACACTGAGCAAGAAAATCTAGAAAGGCCAAAATTTTAGAATTTAGTAAGGCACTAGGCAGCATAATTTAGGATCCACAGAGATTGCATCAGGTGGGAAAAAGCACAGCGCCAGCCCTGTGTATGATGCATTGATGAGATGCAGAAGATAAATTAAGATGCATAGGATTGCATAAGATCAATCTTTTAAATTGTCAGTTTTTAATTCCTTTATTAATAGCAAAATTCCTTTCTATAAATGCCTGTCCATGTGATATGATTAGAAGCATTTATGTTTTCATTTTTCTTTTGAAAATTCTCCAAAAAGTAAAAGTTCATCATAAACTTTCTGTAAAATACATTCATTATGTGTTAATACCATGAAGACATTTTTTTTTTTTAATCTTCTAGATTCGTGAGCCTATACACCTTGCCTTAAAATTCTTTTAAACTTTTCAAGTTGCAATGTCTGAAATTCTAAAGAAAAATTACCCCTACCAATTCTGTAACAGCAAAAATCCAGAAATATGCTGAAAAGGAAAAAAGTGTAAAATTCATTTTATAGAGAAAACTGATATTGAGACAATTACATGGGAAAAACTCTAACCATGAAAAAATTAAAACAAAGGCATTTTTAATTATTTACATAGCTATTTTGCTTTTGCTAAGAAATGTTTCATAAATTGTGATAAAGTGCAATTTAAGCATTTATTACCTTGTTTATTTTCCAGATTCAAAATATTGTATAAGTCGCCAAAATGGAAAGTAATGTCACTTTATAATATGATAGCGAAAAATAAAAATGTTTCATTTTAATGTTATTTCTTGAATACAGTTTCAATATATTAGCATTATTTTAATGAAACTGATCATTGTTATAATGCTTAAAAAATATATTGTCGAAAATTCCTCAATTTCCGAATTAAAAATTTTCTATAGAAACTGATCTTAAAATCGCCACAATGTTGATAAGTCAACAAATTTGGAACCATCTAATAAAGAATTCACATTCCTAAAAGCAAAAAATTGTTTAAGAGCTCTTTATTAGAAAAAAAAAAAAAAGTAGTAATTTTGAAATGCTTATGTTTCACTTCTCGGAACCTGAGTACCTCATCATTTATATTATAAATAGGAACAAATTATAATCCATGAACCTATTCACTTATTCAAAAGATAACTATATTTGTCAATGAATCGCCAAAAATATTTGTCCAAAATGCTAATTCGCAATCAAAATGCCAGTTGCAAAAATAGACAGAAATTTCAGTTGATTAAAATTAAGGACCTTCTGCCGAATTTGGTCGAAATTAAGGACTTTTAAGGACCAAAAATCAATTCCAAAAAAACCTAAGGATGTTTAAGGACTCTGAAGGACCGTACGAACCCTGTTAGATTGATGCATGTAATTCTTTCAAGACTGTCTCAGCTATTCTCCTATGAATGCAAATCAAATTCAGGAGGAGTATACAGGATATTTTTGCTCTCACCACCCAACACAAGTTTTAGGCTTTTTTATTATTTTTTTTTTCATTTCTAGATTTTGTCTTAAAAGACAATCTTAAAGTTACAGCCTTCTCAACAGGACATAAGAACACAGATGCCTAATACATAATAATCATCATACAACCACAGGGCCAACAACTTTATGCTACTATGATAAACTGGAACTGGTACACAAACATTAGCATCCTTCTTAAAATTACTTATTTTGTGTGTTGCATTTCATGTGATGCCAAGACCAATAAAAGTAAAGAAATTCTATTTAGAATGCATAAAGATTAATATGGCAATAAACGTCTCAAAGGAAGATACAGGGTGATTATAATTAAAGTTCCAATTTCAAAACGCTTTAACTTTAAAACTACTATGGCACTGTCAGTGTTATGTTACATAAGGCATTAAGTTCAAACAATGGCTAGCTCAGAAAGGATTCATAAGTCATCTACCCAATGAATAAACAGCTATATTATCATAAATGGAGCACTTCAAATATTTTAAACTCAAGAAAAAAGGTTTATTTACACATTTGTACAAGTTAAATGAATAAGAAATATCTATCTAGCCACATTGTCCTTAGCTATCTAAACCCCAACTGTTCGTTTTTCTCTGCCGTCCCATGGTGTCAGTCTGTATCTGGCCTTTGACTCGTTGGCATAGTGATGCCATTTTCAACAGTCAGGGTTCACATTGCTGTTGGTATGCAAATTACTAAGACATAACATGCACACCATAGACATGGCTAGGATAAAAATGCAGAACACTTTAACATTTTGCCCGAGTGCTTCAAAAATTCATGACTCTGACGAAGAAGGATCATGCTCTTCTTGTGAAGCTTTCCTTATCAGAATGGTGACTATCAGTTATCAGGAAGTTCCTGACATTAAAAGGCATAAATTCTGGCTCAAAGACCATATATGCCCTGCTGAAAATGATAGATAAATTTAATCCTGCTGACCTGGAACTACTTCTTGCCCGAATGGAAGCGGATGATGAATGGCCTTGGAACATTCTGTTGTCCGACGAAGGTTATTTCCATTTGCAAGGTTCTGTAAATACACAAATTTGTACGATATGGGTGACCGAGAATCCGTTCCTGCTACAACCATTACTTCTTCACTCAGGTCACTGTGTATTGCGGAATAACGGCAGCATTCGTCATCGATATGTTCTTATTCCAAGGACGTTTGCATAATCATTTCCTTTCAGAACTTCGGCAACGTCAATGTGTGGATTGCACAATATTCATGCAAGATGGCACTCCTCCACACATTGCTACTTGTGTGAAGCAGTTGCTGATCACTTATTTCAGAGATGATAGAATCATAAGCCACCATTTTCCAACAGCATGGCCGCCGCACTCTCCTGATTTAAACCCGTATGACTTTTGGCTTTGGTGATATCTGAAGAATGTTGTTGACAGTAGGCGGATTGCAAATCTGCCCGACTTAAAAGCAAGCAACATGCACTACAGTCATAACATCAGCACAGATACCTTCCGATCTGTTATGGAACATGCAGATTTGCGCTTCCAGCAGCAAAACAGAGAGGAAAGTCTATCGACCAAAATATGCATTTATCCGTAAGGTGTTTGTTTCGTGAAGCTTATCTTGTCACTATCTCTGTTTTCTCTGTAAATACCTATTCTTGTCTTTTCGCTAAAAAAATTGTCGTAAACCCTGGAAGTCTTTGTTTCCTTTCAGCTATACATCCACAATAGCAATGTGAACACCGACAGCACCATCTACCGACAAATTTTGATTTTTTTTTTTTTTTTGCCAAACAAAATTCCATTACCTCAAAATTATTCTGGTAAAATATCAAGTCATTTTGACCTGTAGAAGTTAGAGCATTTTGAAATCTTAACTTTAATTATAATCACCCTGTATTACCAAATATACAAAGTGAATAAAACATACATCTTGGACATTCCACTGCTCACTTACTTTCCTCAACAATACACTCGTAATGTCAATCAAGGTTAACTGAAAAATTTTAGAGGTAAAATGAAAACTAATTACACTGTACAGATGAAACATCTATGTGTGGGGACTCGAGCATGCAGGAAGATCTTTGGAAGAATTGCTGCTCACCTATTGAAAAAAGTTAAAAAAATGTAGAAATGCCACTTTTAATACACTGATGTAGTAAGGTTAATAAATAAACAAATTTATCATAAATAAAATATGATTCTTTTACTATCACATTTTAATGAAGATCCAAGCTATCATTTTTTAAAAAATGTATAAAAGCAACTGAATTCCTTATAGAAATTTAGACATAACTTTTTTTCAAAAAAATTTTTTTTTTCTAGCTTGAATAATTTTATTTTTTAATAGCTAAAATTTCTATATGTGCATATGTGAACAATATTATAATGTGAACAAAAATTTCTTATTAATATTTCCTAACCCATTACATTATTATTTTGATTATTTTAAAATAAAAAAATACAAACAGAGTTATTAATTATTCAACAATAAATTAAATATCTCCTCTTCTTTAGACACTTTTATTTTGGTGCTCAATTTATAGTTTTAATAAAATTAAATGAAAGAAAAATTATAAAAAAAAAATGAGGAAAGAAGACATATTCATAGCAACAAAACTTAAAGCCATATAATACCACATTTGCCTTCAAGGATTATAATGAAAATGATTTGTTATTCAGATAATGAATATTAAAATTCAAAACACTTAATGAAATAAAACAGATAAAAAATTTTAGATTACAGTTTTAATAAATGCACTGAAAAATAAAAACATTCCATTTTTTTAACTATCACAATATATACAAAAAAAAAAATAAATAAAAAAATAAAAAAAAAAATAAAACTGGGGTTTCGAACAATGAATAGATTTTAAATCAAAACTGTGCAAGAAGAATTGAATCCAATCGTTTTTACACATAATGTTTCTAAGCTATCACTTTGTTCTGTAAAATTCTGCTAATATCCTAAAAATTTTAATATATGGCCCCATAGGCATAAGCAGGATCAAAATCAGAAGAACAATTTTAAAAAGTGAAATTTAAAGTATAAAGTGAAAAAATCATTATTAAGTGAAATTTAATCAAGTATGAGATGAAACACACCTCAGCATGAAATATGGAAAGGAAAACATTTTACTGATGGTGAAAGAAGGAAAATTCTTCAAAATATTTATATTTGTCTATTTAACAAAAAAAAAAAAAAAAAAAAAAAAAAAAGAGGGTGAAGGGGGGAAAAAAGAAGAGAATAATAACAAAGAAAGAAAAGATTTTGTATAATCAATATAATATAATACACTGTGAAGATGACATCTGTCCTAGTTTGTGCCGTATGGAATTCAATGTCATTTTTGCGGAAATCAGTTACATTGGCATACAAGGACTGTTAGTCAGTACATATTACTTCTTTTGTTACAAGATATTTTGAATAGCACAGTATTACATATGAACACTCTTATAACATAAATCAATACTATATATAGGTGAAATTATATTGTATGTATACACATATATGCATTTGGCAGTGCATTAAATAAGTACTATATTTGGTATATAAATAAGTCAAATGTGATACATTTAAGTGATGACAATGTGGAAGAAATATTTTTACACTACAAAAATATATAGCCATTATGCAACATTATTACTGGTATTTCACGCGTTAGATTGGCATATTTACTATACTGGAATGAACACTTATATTACGAAAGTTAGATAACTGCATGAACAATGTATTAGACCGGATGAGTACAAATATTTATATATGTCAAGAAGTTGATTCGATGGAACAAAGATTTTTATAACAAAAGAGTTAAATAACTATATATATATATATATATTATGTGTGTGTGTGTGGTGTGTAAAATAAAATAAATAATAAAATAAATAAATAAATAAATAAAAAATTTATATATATATAAAAAAATCAATATAATACAGAAAAATGAGTAGAGGAAGCTTGTTAAACTTAGCTTTATCATTTCTCCTAACTTCAACATGTGTGTAAATTCAACAAACGTCTTTGCACTCCAATATTATTTTTCTTTGAAACATATCAGCCTCATTAGAATGGCTTCGATCATAATCATCAAAATTTAAAACATAATTACTTAGCTCAGATTTTCATCCCCAAACCCCAAGCCTAGTCTTATGTTTTACAGGACTCCAAAATCTTGCTATAACTCCTCATAATTCTGCTTTTGTTAGAAACAAAAAACAAGGAAAGTAAACTCTAGGGTGTCCCTAGAAGAATGCAAACATCCAATGCACTAGAGGCTGCAGAATGCAGGACGATGTCAGACCATTTGAAGAGGGACCTACTGAACACAACTGACATTTCTTCTAAGTGACTCTACAAATGTCATAAGTTCTGATTGATCTGATTGACCTTAAACAAGGGGGAAAAAAAACTGATTCATCAGTACAAATCTTTGAGCTTTATGCACAAGTGTTGTTTGAACAGATCTAAGTAGAGTTATATTTTAGAGTTTCTTTAATACTTACTCTGCCAAATTCTACAATCAATATACAATAATGATGACCCTACGATCAACATATCATAATGATCCTTAAAACATAATGGTACATTGATTACCATACAGTCGATATACCATAATGATTTAAGGATCAAATTATAGCAATCTTTTGCTTTTTCCATTAACCCAAGAAAGTGATTTGAGACTTCCGAATGACGTTTTCACTGGTCTTTTAGAAAGAAGGCTACACTTGCTCCTTCCTCTCTAGAGTAATGAGAAAATTATGACTATTTATCAATTGACAGGGCACAAGACAATGCTGTCTACAGAAATTATAATTAGCAGGGTTCGTACACATTTCTGCACATGGAAATTAAGTACTTTTAAGGACTGTTAATGAAAAAAAATAAGGACCTCTCAGCAAATGGGAGCTGAATAAATTCAATTAAATTCAATCAACTTATGTCTGAACTGAGTATGTCACTTTAGTAATAATACTAAGAATAAGATAGATTCGTAAGTAGGATTCATTCTTATTAAACATAATTTAATAAACATAAATATAAAAAATTGAGAATAAAATTTACTTTATAAAATTTATAAAGTAGCATTAAATATTTTTCCACGTATAATAGTTGGTCACATCTGAAAGAAGATTAGGGACATTTACTAAAAGTTAGTTTCTGTTGATTTTTCCTTTGTGTCTCATTTTTGCCACGTACTTAGTCTAGAGATTTAGTAAATAGCAGGTAGATTTTTATGTCAAACGGCATAGGTTAAAATGAGAAATAAAATCATAATCAGCATGATTGCCTAGAGAGAGACTTTTGATCAGAACAAACCTGATAGCATGATGTAGCCACGGTTGGCAAGTTCTGAAAGTTAGTTGTGCTCCATCTGTCTGATGCAGTTAGTTTTGTAGCTTCGTGTAGAGTTTTTGGGATTGTAACCCAGTTAACACTTTACCGACCAATTGCCTATTAATCGGCTTTTTATCGCCAACGCCTACCAACCGATAGCCTATTAATCAGCTTTTTACCACCAACGCCTACTGACCAATCACCTATTAATCGGCTTTTTTTCACCAACGTTTACCGACCGATAGCCTATTAATTGGCTTTTTTTCACCGACGCCTACCGAAAAAACACCCTAATAATCGCTTTTTTCTCGGGGATACCTAAAAATAGCCTATCAATCGGTAGCCATGGCGATAAACAGTTGCCATTTGCTACATCATCTGCATTTTATTATTAGTATTGAAGTACATTGCTCACTTGCGTCATGTGCGTTGCTTCGTAAACTCCTGCATTTTCACACCATTTAAAAAAATTTACCGTTCACGATGAGCGAAAAAAATGGTACTGGAGATTTATTTAGACGATTTATCAGATTGTCCTGACAGTTATTCAGAACAGGGAGAATCTGCGGTTGAGTGGCTGGTCGGACATGCATATGCTGTTGAACCACTAGTGGTCGGTAAAATGTTAATATATTTTGAGGTTCCAATAAGCCTCTAATGCATCAGAGGTGATAAGCTGTTTTGTATTATTTTAAGTCTCACTAGATGCAAAGAATAAGTTTTGCATTAATGTTTACATTTTTGTTTGTATCTTGCGACCACAGTAAGGATTAATGAAAGGCAATAACTTTCTTTAATACACAGAGATAACTTTTAAAGGTGAGCAGTTTTCAAATAATTAAATAGGTAGTTATATACCCTTAGTCGTTATAGATTTACATGACAACTATTAACTTTTTTATTTATTTTTAAAAAAACATTTGTTAAAAAAGCACGATTAAAATCTCAATCTAATAACATTTTACAGCTTAAAATGCATGTAATTTATGACAACTGATTCTTCAACGGTATTAGGATAATTCCACATTTAAAAGCTAAAAAACATTTATGTTTTGAAGGCATAAACATTTTAATATGGTTTAAAATTTTGGAAAAAGCAAGTAAATAAAGACAATAAATTTGTAAAAAGACATTAATTTAAGAATATACTATGCTTTCATGGTTCAACATCCTGATTTGCCGGTTCGTATCACATGACCCCAAGTGATCTCATCTCACGTAAACTACGCTACAAAAATCTAATTCTCTCAGTAATTATCTACATTAATTTCAAGTTAAATCTTACATTAAATGCAAGAATTATTTCAATTTGTATGAATAGCTTACTCAAAAATTATGTAAAACCACAGTGCTTTACTTCGCTAGTGCATTCTCATTAGATTTGATGAATTTAACCCTTGATTTTGCCTTCAAGTGAGTGGTGTGATTGCATCCTAATTAATTACCCCGTATGGTCTTTAACTAGTAAAAATTCTATGTAATTGTATGCCAGTATTGAAAGAAACAATCAATCTGATAAAAAATGGCTGTGACTTGTTTTGAAAATGAAGGGTAAAAGGTTACCAGCAAAGATATTCCATTTGGCATCAGTTGTTCCATTATTGGCGACTTTATCGTTTGCGCCGGCAAAACGGAAAAGTATCCAAAATATTTATGCGTCTTTTTAATTTGAAGGCTTCTTAGACATTTTGGCTAAATATATATCATTTTTCTTCTCTTTAAACATCTTTTTAACAATTAGAAATTTGTTTCAACACTAAAACCAATTTTCCCACTAGTTTCTGCATGCTTTACCTCCTAACTTGCCAATCCTTAACACTGTACCTAAAGAGGTTTTACTTGATCTGGTAAAAGTTAAATAGTGCAAAACCTCTGATAGACACGAAGCAAATTATCCCTCTGTCTGAGAGTAACTACAAAGCCATATAAATGTTTAAATAAACCTTATTTATAAAGAACTTAGAACACATAGGCATGTTCTCATGTTGACAAAATCAACCACAGTTTGTGGTAATACAATTAAGCAGGAACAGTCAAATTCAAACTAAAATTGTGGACTAGTAGTCAAAGACTAGACAATTTAATTTTAAACTAAGCTGGCTCAGTAACTCTATCATTGTAACATATTCAAATGTTAGCAGCGATAACACAAAGGCGAATAATTACCAATTATCAGAGCTGGCAGAATAATGGCAACATCCATGTGGAGGGCAAAAACTCTCTGTCTTACAATCCCAAAAGCTTCAATATAAAAATTATCTGACTTGCATTATGTTGAGGAAGTGGAAGCCACAGTAAAGGATAAAATAGTAAACAACTTATTAATTTGCATAATAACTGTACGAATAATTTTCTTCCTCTTTATGTATTCAGTTTCTTCAATATATTTCCTCTTTAGAAATTTTGAAATTAATTAAAGATTTATGTTATTATACAGACCCAAATGCACTTAGAACATAAAAAAAAAGTTGAACATCCAAAATTAATATGAAATTATATATGGTAAGGGCTGGTTTCAGAGCAGATGAGGCAGAATTTTTAGAATTTTGTGACAAACCAAGCAACAAAATCTAGAAATGGCAAACCTTTTAGAATTTAGGACAAGCACTGGGAGCAGAGTTCAGGAGAGCACTAGGCAGCATAATTTAGGAAGCACTAGGTGGCAGAATTTAGGATCCACAGAGATTGAATCAGGTGGGAAAATGCCTAGCACCAGCCCTGTGTATTATCCATTGAGACATATAAGGTGAATCTTTTAAATTGTCAGTTTTCAAATTCTTTATTAATAGTAAAATTCTTTTTTATAAATGCCTGTTCATGTGAAATAATTAGAAACATTTGTGATATTTTTTTACACTTGCGTCTAGTGAAAAGGTGAGAAAATAAAGGGAAGATAAACATGTTAAGAAAAAGACTTCTTCTAGAAAAGACTTCTAGATCTTCAAATTTGGATTGGAATTAGGATTCTAATCCAAATTTGCCTTCGGCTTTTAAAGAAATTATGTTTTAGTTCTGGTTTTGCCAACAGATGGCACCACTTGCTTATTCTTGTCCAGGCTTTCTTATCTTAACCAATCATATTTCCATCTTGTTCATTTGCGGTTTGCAGCTGAGATGAAGGTTCGGTAAACCCTTCGACAAAGTCCTGTGAAAATTTTGTAAATATAACATGATTTTTGTTTGACTTTGAATTGTATTATTCGGCGTGTTATTGTGTCTTAATTATGTCACTTTATAACTGAAAAAAAATGTTTTATTTTTCATTCCTTAGTTATATAATTTCAATATATTACCATTATTCAGCTAATTTTCAATGTTAAATGTTAAAAGAATCGAAAATTCCCAGGTTCGAATTATTTTCTATTTGAACTGATCTTAAATCGTCAAAATGTTGACAAATGTCAAATTAGAGCCATTTTATAAAAGATTCACATCCCAAAGCGAAAAATTGTTAAGAGCTCTTCATTAGAAAAAAAAAATGAAATAACTTCGAAATGTTTGTCTTGCTCCCGAAACTGTTCCCCCCATTTCTTAGAATAGAAACAATTTAACCCATGAACCCATTCAAGAGATAATCCTTGTCAGTGAATCGTCAAATATGCTCAAAATGATAAGTCACATCAAATAGCAGTCATAAGGAGACAGAATTGTAAATGATTAAAATAAGGACCTTACGCTGGCCAAAATGTTTTAAGGACCAACCGAACCCTGTTTTAACAAAAAATTCTGTTATGTGAAATGGTCGAGAAATACAGCAATTTTCAAAAATTCACTAAAAATTGGGAATTACATAAAAAATTTCAAACTTTTTTTTTTTTTGGATGATGCAAACAGTTAAATTCTAAGACTCTTTAAATGTGTTGTTTCTTAAATGAAGATATGCATGAAAAATCATTTCAACATAAAATCTTAAAAAATTTAAACAAAAAAATCATTTCAACACACTGTATTATTATCCACAATGGATGCATGTGCAAATTGAGTCTGAAGCCTCAAACTGAAAATGATGAGGTACACTTAATAATTTTAAACACTAATTAAACCTTAAATTCAGTTCTTTGAGAACAACAACAAATTGCAAAATCCATTCACAAAAAAAGAGGATGGGGCAGACATAAATGCAGAATTTATTTTAAAAAAAACGCAGAAAACTTCTATAACAAGCGTAATTTCTTTGGAAGTAATTATTTCTAGCAAAGGGAAGGAGATTAATAAATCAATAAAATTAATATAAAGAAATTATATGGAAGCAAGAAAAACAGTGTGACATAATTGCATCCTAAACTATGTTTCCAAGTGATGTCAAACATAAAAAAGGGGGCATGTGGGGGGGGATTTTCTCTTTATACTGCAGCATATTTTTTTACAAAAAATTAAAAGGATAATATTTGGGCCATTTCCCGTCTTCTTGTTTTGAAAGAGGGCAAAGAATTTATTATATAGTCTGGGAAAATTTCAAAACTTTATACCTTAAAATTTTAAGCGTTGAAAGTTTGAAACAATGGACATCAAACAGTCGGAAAAATTCAAGACATTTTTGAAAATTTGCAAAAAAATTTGAAATTTTGTTAAAATTTTCACATAAATTTTGTTTAAAACATATTTTCTCACACTTCTGAGATTTTTAGTTTGTTTTTTTAACAAAGGTATGTGCAAAAAAAATTGTTTCAACATTCAATTAAAAAAAAAAAAGACATCTTTGAAAAAATTGCTTCACTACATTGTATTATCAACCACAAAGAGCATGCATGCAAAACTTGAGGCTCGATAATTTTCAGGAAAATCATTTTAAAATAAATTAAAAAAAACTTTTGCCCATAGTGACAAATACCATAAGCAAGTTAAATAAAAGCAACATTAATGAAAATGTATCAAAATTTTGAAACAAAAAACCCTTATGATAAAGATAAAGTGTAATGCCACACAATATGTGTGAAAAATTTGAATAAAATCAGTTTAATGGCAGCAAGTCAAAAACTGATTTAAAAATCTGACCCAAACACAGAAACACAAAAATTACCCTGAATGTAATATAACATCAATAATAATCAAAATACCAACATTTTTTATTTAACATTAACATACCTTATGCTTTACAGTACAGAATGAATGACCTAATTAAAACCTGAGATCAGTAACCTTTTAATCAAAGTAACAGATATTAAAAAAATTCTTTTCCTGTCAGCTTTTTTTATTTTTATTTTGCAAATTATTTTTTAATTGCTTTTTAAGTTTTTTACTGTATATACATATAATACTTACCAAAAGCAGAAGAAACATTCTTGGAAAGGTTATAACTGTTTTTATGCAATTCTGAAGAAGTCATCTGTTTTGACATAGAATAATGATTTGAATCTTGAACTTTGTTTTTAGATTTTCCTAAATAAAAAAAGAAAAAAAGGACCATTTTTTAATAATTATCAGGAAAAAGTTATAAAATGAATATAAATAATACTCAAATTCGCAAACACAATAAACATATGAAAACGTTTTAAACATACTTATTGGAGTAACAAAAGTCTTTTCAATCATTTCAACACAGATTTCAATGAAGCTCAGAGATAAGCAACATTTTCTCAAAACATAATTTTTTATAACATTCTTTAGTTTTCCTTAAAAGCAACTACTTTTTATCTCTCTACAAAGAAATCTGTTTTCCTACTAGTATAAGATTTTCTTTGCACTACACAGCATGAAATTATACCTTTATGGACAACTGAAGTGAATTTTCCCGAGCTGAAAGTATAATATATTTGCATAAAATATAGATTTACGATCACTTATTCAAACACATCAGCACTGAGTTTTTATTATACATTCCAGTAAAAATGAATATACAGTACTTGCATAACTAATACCTGCTTTTGATGCATTAAAAGTCATCTATTTGCAAACTCTTTTTTACAAAAAACATATTAGTTATAAGGTTTTACTCCCATAAAAATGAAAACTTTTTACATAAATAATTTTCTTAATGTAATCAGACAGAACTATGTTTTTCTTTGCTTTGACACACTGGTTGGAGACTTTACAGAGCAATGGTCAGTAGGTAACAGTCTAAATTGCATGGCAGTGGTATGAGCAGTTATCTCAAGCTCAGAGGTTCACTTTATTTTCAATGGCTGAACATTTACTTCACATAAATATACATAGTTAATTCCCAATAATCCAGGAGCAGATTATCTGTGCATCACAGACACAAATAAATAAATAAAACAAAAGGCGTGAGAGAGAGATCAAGACAGAAAAAGCCAAAATATAAGCAATATTTCTTCTTTGATTAATGAATATTGCTTATATTTTGCTTGTTTTAGTTTGAAGCAAGTCTTCACAAGTCGCTTTATTAAAAAATTTTAGAACTTGCACTTTTAAATTTTATGTGCGAATGTGTGAGCTTAAGCATCCAGCTAAGTGAAGAAAGACTGTTTTAATAATTAAACAAAAACTGAATACAACTAGTAAGCTAAAGAAAGAAAAATTAGTTCACAAACAGATACCATCATTTATATTGTAGATGACCAAGAGATGGAAATAAAAACTCATGAATTAGCACACGATAATAACACCTGTGCAGTGATAAACAAAAGGAAACTGGTTAAAAATTCTTCAAATGAAAAATTTGATGCTTATTTCATTTCAATGTCCCATCAAAATTAACAAAAATCATTCCTATCTCAGGCCCAATGTACATTCTGTCCTTCCCCAACAAAAGAAAGAAGAAAAAGAAAGAAAAGGGACAGTTCTACATCTCCCATTTTACTGGGATGAGCAGCAAAATTCAAATTGCATTTTTTATGTCTTGAAAGCATGATCAAATAGTTTAAAAATTTGTATTTATCTATTTGCATACTTTAAGCATATTTATTTGTATAATTTTTTTTTAAATTTGGTTCTATTTATTTAAATATATTTTATTTTGAAATAATACATTGTCAGGTTGTTAAGTCAAAATTTAAAAACTGCATTCCGCATTAAAACAGAAAATACCGTAAAATATGGTTAACAGGTCTTGCAATGAGCCATTTAGAAAATATATACAATGTGTTTCAGCAATTCAGTTACAAACGTTCAGGAGACTTAGAGTACACCTGGATGATGGAAAATCACATAGCAGTGCTTTCCTGGCGTGGTAGCGATAACACAAAATACAACAAACTAAAGACACGAACACGGTGAGAAAACATGTTTATTATGCTTAGTACAGCAGAAACCAAGAAATAGAAACAAAAAAACTGACAATAATTGTTGTCAAAGAAAGAATTAAATTTTACATCAGAATTATGACCCCCAACTGTGATGCAGGCCTCACTTTTCATCTCTGCATATTGAAGAACTGATGTTCTGGAAAATACCCAGTGTGTCCCAGATTTTCCCAGAAAATGCCACGATGCATGCAACAAGTTCCTGAGCACTGTTAACAAGGGTTTTGTACATCAATGTCTTGACACATTCCTAAAGAAAGTAATCAATGCAAGTGAGGTGTAGCGATCTTGTTGGCCAACGCACCAGGACGGTTATTCTACGCTACGAGAGTCGACAGCAAGTTGTGGGCCGCCAGATGTCGCTGCTAGTAAAAAACAGGTCTGCCCAACATCCTATATTCTCTGAGTACGGAAGTTGTCGAAAAGGCGTGAAAAAAGTGTGCCGCGTCGTCAATCAGGGTTGTCCAGTGACGTACTACGTAGGACATGGCTTTGTATGTGTTTTCGCGCTGATTTTTTCAATTTAAACGAAGAATACCGTCGTAGATATCTGATCGATGGCGGAATTATAGAAAATATGTTGAGCTTTTGCTCTGCCAAAAAGATGTTTTCATTGCGTATTTCAGATTGCCAAAAATTTATAGTTATTTTAATGGGATGAACTGAGAGAGATTGGGCCACATTCAGAAACCGACGCAATTTCTACTGAAAGAAAGGTATAGTATTCCTGAATTATAGATATAAATTGTAATGGTACGCTTTTTTTAAAAATGTAGAAGATAATAAGTTATCAAGCACATAAAACTTCTATTTAATACAAAATAGACCCGATAAGGTTCTATCGATTTATGTACAGCAAGAGATACGTTTTACTTTAAAATCTAAGTTGAATACCTCGAATAATACTGTGACACAAAAAAAATGTCGTTCATATAGCGAAATTCACACTAAAAATAAAAATTTAAAAAATAAATAATAATAATAAAACTATAAAAGATTATAATATTTTTTCAGTAGTTGTATACTACTAGTGTGATATTTAAATAGTTTAGCCCAGAGGGGCTATTAATTTCGTTTGCCATTTTGGGCGTTTCACGGAAAATGGCATTTTCACTTTTCCCCATCATTGCACCAAGTATATCGCCACTCTATATTATTTAAAGAAATTAAATAATGAGGAATCTGCAGAATGTATGAATGTCTCCACGGTGATAAAAAAAACGGTACCTAGCGCCATGAAATTCTCGAATAACGTAATCCTCCATCCTAAATAGGCATCTGGAGGCCCAAATTTGGAATGGGATTTGTATTACTATCATTTATATATCATATTTGTCAAGCATTTATGAGTTTTTGATTAGAACCATCGATTAAAGCGAGCAATGGCAAAAAAAAACAGTTTTTCAGAGCGGCGGCGAGACTATGTATCGGAAATTCTAAAAATATGCTTTTTTAAAATTATGATATTGCTGTTGAATTGAATTTTATGGTTTAAGTGGAAAAAACAATGATATTTAAAAATAAGGTAACACGCAAAACGTTTAAAAAAGGCCCTTTGGAGTAATAAAATCTGAAAGCTTTCAGATTTTTCTTTTGGTGGTATGTGTGTGTGTGTAATTTTATACGTTTTAAAATGGTTTCTAAGTGAGGACTTTAAGGGAAACTGGCTCGTATACACGTTACACATGGGGAAAAAGCACGAAAAGCCGTCCAGCTCGTTCGCGGGATTCGAATCTCGGACAAACTACCTGCGTTCAGTGACGCTACCTCGGCGGCTGGTGGGCTTGTTAGCAGAATTATACTGTATTATTATTGTAGTTGCTATAAAGGAACAAGCTATAAGACTGAGGGTTGTTCATGGAATAGTACTTTTGTAACCTATTTATGTATTAAAAAATCATGTTCCTTTGCAACCTAAAAAAAAAAAAAAAAAAATTAATTAAAATACTTCATAGCATTCTCATTTTTATATTGTAAAAGAGATATTGATTATTATTAGTTTTCTATTTAAAATGTTCGAACGCTGTTTGATAAGGACTTGAACTGCAGGAGACTACACTGATTATTTTTACTTTAGTACCCATTGTGAAAATATTACTATATTTTTATTTCAAAGAACAAAATCTTTTGAGAAGGAAGGATATTAATGAGCGGTTATATACAAAATTAAAATAACGCAATGTAATTGAAAAAAGGTATTAGTAATTGTGTGACAAAAATTGCCAACGATTAATCACCATACAGGATAGATTAGTTTAATTTTGGTATATATGTTATATTGAAAAAATGTTTTCTTTATGTAATTATAGAAAATTATTTAAAATAAGCATTTTGATGCGTTGTGGTAATTGAATGCCGCAGCAATCGGCCATACTGTAATAGCGAATGAATTTTATTTCTTTTCTGAAGAAATAATTTTATAGAAAAGAAAAAAAAAAGGGAAGAAATTAAGAAAAAATTTTTTTCTAATTTCTTATTTAAAGAAATATTTTTCGATAGTAACTGTAAAAAATACGGGAAAACAGTTTATGTAAACATGGGGGAAAAAAAAAAAAAAAAAAAAACTTAGTTTGCTATTAGATTGTAATGAAAATTAATATATAAATTTAAATAATTAAATTATGATTTCAAAGGATTTGAAGTAAGCTTAATTCATTATCTTATCTATTTCCATTGCTTTCATGGTACCCCATATCACTTATTCTTACCTTAAATTCTTGCGTTAATTTCCCATTAAAAAACGAGATTTTCTTTCACATAACACAGCAGCATATTCTACTGCATGTTGGTCATAATACTGTTTTGTGCAATTTTTTTTTCGAACTACAAATGCAGCGTGTGAGTTAGTGAAAATAATGGGAGAAATTCTTAGAATTCAGCCAGCGCGCGCTATAAATTTAGTCACTCGTCTGTACTGCGATTGGTCTAAAGCTCCTTGAAGCCTTGTCCCTTCAGTAAGTTAAAGACCACCGCCGTCCAATGAGGACCAAAGGGGCTTTCTCTGATAAGTTGTGATGGCTGTCCATACCGGTTCTTTTGAGTCAATATTGTTCTCTCAAGTTGTAGACAGATCCAGTGATCATAGAATAGGCGTCCAGATCTCCCTCTGTCAATGCAATGTTAAGGATACCTTGTATTCAGGTGTAGACGCACATTAAAGCTGTTAATGTATGTAAA